ATCTAAGACTTATTGACTGAAACCCCGATTCGACAGGGTTTCAGCCAGTACACCTGTCAGTTCGAAGATCTTGAGCATATCCTGTACCTGGGCGCAACAATCCGCACTCAGGCGATTAATGTGTAGTTGTACCACTAGTGCCTCGTCTTAAGGCTACCATGTCTCGGTTCTTGGTAATTTGAGGAAAGAAAACCGCTTTTAAAAAATCCAAAGGTATCCAGTGAAGAATGTTACCAATTTTTGTTTTATGCATTACCCTTACTAAAAGTCAAGGTCTTGTTTCTGTTAATGCTCCCTCTCTTAGCATACTTATGTAATGAATAAATGAATAAGTATAACTGCTGAAAGATTCCGGTTAAAAACTTTTGAGTTTGAAGAAAATGGCACGAACTTTTCTGACAACAATAGTGTGTGTGCTATCGTGTCAATCACTAAAGAATATGATTTTTGAGAGATAATCTAGTAAATTTAAAGGTGCACCAAAAAATCCTACGATTTAAGATCTAAGATCTAGATTCAAGATCTCTATCGCATTGAGGTTTTTGCGCCTTTTTGCCTAAATTTCCGAGTAATTGCGGTTTTTCGCCCCCAGCGCAAGCTTCGCGTTATTGGTACCAAGCGCACCGCACAAATTTTGTAACAGAGAAGATCTCGGAATCTGGTAATACCAAAATAAAACGATAGAAGACGTACAAATTAATGTGATCACAGTTTGACGCAAAAAAAAAACTTATTCCAAACTTTTTCTAGGTCTTGGTGATTCATATCAAGCTACCAGTCTAAACTTAACTTCATAAGAAGATCTTAGGTATTCGTTACAAAAGTCTAATGTTTTCGGCTTTACAGCTGACCTGCGCTTATCTCGGCGCAAATGCATTATCAGATAGTTATCATTAGGCTATACGTACCAAATAATCCCATCAAACATGTTTCCATCGTTGATAGCACTTCTTTGGCCATATCCCAATATTCACACCAGCGCCAGAGCGGCATAGAAACTTTTACTGTTCGCTATCGTAGTGTAAAAATTTCAATTCTTTCAAAAAAGTCACCAAAAAACAGGGATCTCTGGCCCCTTTTGCACTGATGGGAACGTATTTACGCGCCTATAGCTCCTTTCGCCACCCGACAGCCGATCGTTTTGGACCAGCGGAAATTTGCGCCGGTGCAGAAAAATGTTCGTAGTTCTCGGCACCTCCGGATGCATCGGTGCAATATCAGGAGGTCCAAAACGATTGGCTGCCTTTGACAGAAAGCATTGGTGCACGAGAAGAAACGATTAGCCGCTAACTCTCTGTCAATCCAAAAGAGTTGTGCTGATTGGAGTCTATATTTATAGCTGATGACTGACATGTTCCAAAAAAGGTGAAGGATTCGAAAGTATGCCTTGAGCTGACTTTAAAAGAAATTTCTTTTCTCATCAAATTTAAAGTCATTAGTGAGCTATGTGTAATTTTAATCTGAATATTGTAGTTTGCATTCAAGGCAAAACTGCGGCGTCTATTTTATACTATGGTCTCCTTGTGTGTAATCTGTACACAAAGCTTTCTTAGCTCTCATCGGTAAATACTGATAATCATCAAAGCAGCGCATATTAGCAATGTCTGCACATCAGTCATAATTGAATACAGCGGTGACTTTTACAGTATTTCACTTGTAAGCTGCAAACAACATAGAAGTCAAAGGGCGTGTCAATTAAAATGGAACATTGCACATTTCCGTGTAAAAAAGCTCACAACCACGTCAAAACCTAAAAGAGTTTCAAACGATTGAATCTACAGTCTTTATGCTCAACTAATTGACGCAAACATAGATATCATCATTATCGGACAAACAGTACATATAGATGTGAGAGAAATAAAACCGTGCTTCATAAAAGCAACTATTTACAACTTAATATGGTCATCATGAACAACTAATGCGAGCACACCAATAACAACAACAAACATATCATATTATTCTCTGTATGGAAATAACTTAGCTCGATCCATTAAATTACTAAATGAATTTGTCTCTGATGCAGGTAGTTCCAAGGTATACTCTCCAAATGCATCACTATGAGAAATGCGAGCGAATTTCAGCTTATTTTCAAACAAATGCAAGCTAGCTTGATTATCGTCTGTTACTTTTACGAAGAATTTCTTAGTCTTCAGTTCTTTAAGGGCATAGGATATCATAAGCGAGGCAGCTTCAGTGCCAGCTCCTCGACTACGGGCGTTCTCTACGGCTATCATAATTTCAAGCTCACCGGCACCATCTTCCGGTTGTATAAATAAATTCACGTCTCCAATCATACTATCAATCTGGAAA